AAATCTGTGAATGCCCCAACCCTGTGCCTGCTCTGTGGGATAGGGGGAGGGTCCAGCCCCTCCCTGTGACTGATTTTGGGGGGACCCCCTGCTCCTGTAGGGATCTGGGTGGCAGCACCCAAACAGGGACTTGGATCCCAGTCATGGGATTCTCCAGGAGCCACCTCCACTCCCCAGGTTCTGCTGCCCTGGTCGTGGGGATTGAGGGGTGTCTCCTGTGTCCCGCTGTGTTCCCCACTGGATTTGGGGTGCTGGGGATACCCTGGGTGACTTTGGGGGGACCCTTGCCTTCCCAGGGATCCATTTTGGCCCAGGGGGTCACCTGGGCTGGGGGGAACATCCAAGGAGGGAGGTCCCGAGTGGCCCTGGGACCCCCTGGGGGCACTTCCAAGGGCGGGGATGTCCCCAGGGATCGTGGGGACCCCCTGCGAGTGACACAGGTGCCCCCATGCCCTCCCCACCCCCATGTTACGTGGCCTCTGATTGGCCAGCTGGCATGAGAGGCGCATGCTGATTGGCCAAGCCTGTGCCCTACCTCGCGCTGATTGGCCAGTTGGTTTGAGCGACAGTTCCCGGAGGGCTGGAATTTTCCCGCCCACCTTGAATTGGAGCGTGCTGATTGGCTGATCGATCGCAGCAGGTCAGATCCAGCCAATGGGAGGGCGCGCTGTGGCCCTGCAGCCACGCCCCCCGGCAGCGCCCACCCCTTGTCCTCCGTGGGACCCCGCTGTCCCCACGCGCGGGGTGGCTCGGGTGACAGGGGGACACTGGCCCCACGTCCCTCCCCACAACCTCCCCAGCAGACAGGTTCCTCCAGCTCCGCCCAAAGGGCTTTATTGGGGCCCGCTGGCTCTGCCACCGCAGCCGCTGGCTTCTGGGGTCGGCGGTGTCGCGTCTGCCCCATTCCCAGATGCTCCGCTCCAGCTGTTCCCTCTGAACCCTGCTGTCGGCAGAGCTCTCGGGTGGCTTGGCCGGGCAGGGACGGGCCGGGGGGGCCATCCGCGGGTCCCCTCCCGCCCGGTGTCTCCGTTACCGGGACGACAGCATCATCACGAACTCTGCGGGGCGAGGAGCGCGTCAGGGGAGCCGGGCTCAGCCCTGCCCGGCCCCCCCGGGAAGGGGGTGCCCTCACCGTCGAAGTCCACATGACCGTCCCCGTTGAGATCCACGTCCTGCAGGATCTCGTCCACCTCCTGCGCCTTCAGCTGCTCCCCGAGCAGCGCCGCGATGGCCTCGCGCATCTCGGCCGTGCTGATCTCCCCGTCCCCGTTCATGTCGAACTGCGGCACCCGCGGCCCGGGGGTCACCCTCCCTCCACGGCCACCGGCACCCCCAAGCTCCCTGCGGTCACTCTCTCCTCTGCCCTCGTGGTCATCATTCCCCCCTGGTCGCTGTCCCCTCCATGCCTGCGGTCACCCCACGCTCGTTGTTTCCCCATGGTCATTGTCTTCTCCTGCCTGTGGTCACCACCACGGTCTTCCCACAGCCAGTGTCCCCTCCATGTCTTTGGTCACCCCATTGTCCCCCCTATAGTCACCATCTCACCATGGTCTTCCCGTGGTCACAGTCCCCGCCATGCCCCCATCATCACTGTCCCCACCAGGGTCTCTCCAGGGTCACTGTCCCCACCACGCCTGCGGCGGCCCTGAGGAGGGGACGCCAGGCCCGCTGTCCCCGTGGCGGTGGCCGTACCTCGCGGAAGGCGATCTTGAGCTCCCTCACGCCCACCATGTGCGCCGTCTCCTCCCGCAGCTTCGGGCCCATCATCTGCACAAAGTCCTCGAAGTCCACGCGGCCGCCCACTGCGGCGGGAAGGGGACACGCTCAGCGCCCCAGCCACCCCCCGGTCCCCTCCCCGTCCCCCCGAGCCCACTCACTCCTCATCTTGATGTGCTGGGAGATCTCGATGAGCTCCATCTCGGTGGGCATGTACCCCAGCGTGCGCATGCAGGCGCCCAGGTCCTTGTAGCTGATGTAGCCGTCCTGGTCCGTGTCGAACTCCTTGAAGGCGTCCAGCAGCTCTGGGCACGGCCACGGGTGGGGACAGGGACATCATCAGGAGCGGAGGGTCACACGGACACCGCGTCACCCCAGGGCAGGTCCCTTCTTGGATGTGGGAGACCCCTCCGTGGCCATGTCCCCACGCAGATCCCTCCGTGAGGACGTGCCCCCCCATTCCCCTGGGCCCGTGTCCCCACCCCGTCCCCCCTGCTCACCATCCAGCTCCTCCGGTGACAGCTCCCGCTCCTGCATGGGACACACAGAAGGGGTGACAGCAGAATGAGACCCAGCCCCGTGTCCATCCCCCCTCCTTGCCCCCCTAAACCTCGGTGTCACCTTTGTTAAGCGGGGACCAAAATTAACTCCAGCAGAGGATTAGTGGGATTGGAGGCAAAGCCCCGCCCTGCCCTGTGCCTGCACCTCCCACCTGCCCTGTCCTGGTCCCCACATCCCTGCTGCTGTCACCCACCCCAGGGGGGTCCCACCCCCGGACCCCCAGGCTCTGGATGGGATGTGCCGGGTGGCCACAGATGCTGCCGAGGGGGGTTGTACTCCAGAGGTGGAGGAGCAGCATTTTTACTCCCACAGAGCTTGGCTGTCCCTGCTCTAGATGTCCCCTCAGTATGTCCCCTCTGTCCCCAGGGCCCTGGAGTGTCCCCAACACCATTCCCAGCACCCACCTCCCACCCATCCCCACGATTCCAGGCTGTCTCTGACTGTTCCCAGTGCCTCATATCCCCTTCATCCCCAGGTTTCCAGATAGTCCCTGAGCCTATTCTCACTGTCCCCCTGTCCTCATCCCTAGGGTCCCAGAGTGTCCCCGACTGTGTCCCCACTGTCCCCATGTCTTTTTAATCCCCAGGGACCCAGAGTGGCCTGACCATGTCCCCAGTGCCAAACAGCAGCATTTTTACTCCCACAGAGCTCGGCTGTCCCTGCTCCAGATGTCCCCTCAGTATGTCCCCTCCATCCCCAGGGTCCTGGAGTGTCCCAACCCCATCTTCACTGGCCCCATGTCTTTTTAATCCCCAGGGACCCAGAGTGGCCTAACCAGTGCCCGACAACCCCTCCATCCCCAGGGTCCTGGAGTGTCCCAACCCCATCTTCACTGGCCCCATGTCCCCTGCGTTCCCAGGGTTCTGGAATATCCCCATCCCACTGTCCCCAGGCCCATTCTGACTGCCTCATTGCCCTCTTCATCTACAGGGTCCTGGACTGTCCCTGTCCCCATCCCCATGTCCGCATGTCCCCATGTCCCCATCCCCAATGTCCCCATATCCTCTCCATCCCCAGGGTCCCAGACTGTCCCTGACCATGTCCCCAAAGGCCCTGTCCCCCTTCCATCCACAGGATCCTGGACTATCCGTGTCCCCCCATCCCCTCCATTTCCAGGGTCCCTCCATCCCCACCCTCATCCCCACATCCCCTCCCGGTGTCCCCACCTTGCCAAAGACGGTGTTGAGGAAGGGGGAGTAGGTCTTGGTGGCAGCAGCGTAGGGGTCCACGGGAGCCTTCTTCCCACTCTTCTGCCCGTGACCACCGTGCCGCAACTCGGAGCTGGAATTCTTGGGGGCCGGGGCACCGACGTCCTCGGGGGCTTTGGGGGCTTTCTCGCCCTCCTCATGCCCCCCTTTCCCCTTCTGCGGGGGCTCCGTGTCCTTGGGGGTCCCCTTGTCCCCGCGGGAGCGTGGCATGGGGCCGGGGCCGGGCGGGCAGGGAGCGGGACCCCGGGATGGCCGAGCAGGAGGAAGGAGCAGGGAAATCCTCTTACACCCCCCGTGACCCCCCCAAACTCCCCCCGCCGTGGGCCCGCCAGGGCAAAGCCAATTAGCGGTGATTAATGGCACGAAACAGCCACGGCCACCGGCCCCCGGGCACAGCCACGCGGCCACCGCGCCCCGGCCACCGGACAGGTCCCCACCCGCGTCCCGGGGTCACACCGAGAGGCCCTGAGGTGACACCCCACAGCCACCAGTGTCCCCAGCATTGCCCAGTGCTCCCAGCGGTGACACACCCCAAAGGGTCCCCAGAGCAACCCACGTCCCCAGCGGGGACACCGCAAGGCCACCACTGTGTCCCCTCACCTGGCACCTGTCCCCGAGCTCCCCCCACCTCTAAGGTGGGTCCCTTTACTGTCCCCCAGGATGGGGACAGGTGGCGTGTCCCCAAGACATGACCGAGCATGGGCACAGGGTAGCACAGGGGGCTTCAGAGGGGAGGGACCCCCAAAATGAGAGCAGGGGAAAGCCTGGCCCAGGGGGTGACCATGGCTGCTGTGTCACCGCGGGGTGACACAGAGGGGCGACACTGGTGGGGGTGGCAGTGCCCCCGTGTCATTCGCTGCCATTGCCCCTGTGCCAGCCGCCACTGTCACCTCTGTGCCACCCACTGACGCTGTCCAGGGGGACCGTACCCCCGGTGCCCCCGTCCCTGGGGTGCCCCGGTCCCCCCCCCGCCGCCCGTCCCGACCCGCCGGGCGCGGCCCCCGCGGGCCCCCCATCCGCCTTCCCGGGGCAGCCCCATCCCCGTTCCCTGCGGGGCCACCGCCTGTCCCTGTCCCCATCCCTGTCCCTCTCCCAGTCCCTGTCCCCATGCCTAGCGGGGCCACCCCTTCCCCGTCCATGTCCCCGTCCTCGTCCCTGTCCCCATTCCTGTTCCTGTACCAAGCGCGGCCACCACCGGCCCCGTTCCTGACCCCGCCCCCGTCCCCATCCTTTTTCCTGTCCCCATCCTTGTCCCTGTCCTCGTCACTAGCCCTATACAGAATGAGGCCACCACCGTCCCCATTCGTGCCCCCCCATCCCTATCCTTGTCCCCTTCCCTTTCCCTGTCCCTGACCCCAGAGCCAGCAGGGCCACCCCTGTTCCCTGATCTGTTGGACCTGTCCTTTGCCCTCCTTTCCATCTCCACCCGTGTTTCCAGAAGGACACCCTTGTCCCTGTCCCCATCCTGAATGGGACACTCCCTGTCTCACTCAGAGCCCCCATTCCTGCTTCCTGAGTTCCCTTCAGGGAGCTGGCAGGGACGGGGGTGCGTCCCCAATTCCTGCCTCCTAGGAGTGGCTGAGCCACCCTTTACCGGGGTGCAAACCCAGTTCAGGGGACACCCCATTCCCAGGCCACCTCCCTGGTGGCCCCACCTCCCATTTTGGGGTATCCCAGCACGCCTGACCAGGGCCGGGGCGCTCCCCAGCCATGTCCTTCCGGAAGGTGGTGCGGCAGAGCAAATTCCGGCACGTGTTCGGGCAGCCGGTGAAGACGGACCAGTGCTACGATGACATCCGCGTGTCCCGCGTCACCTGGGACAGCACCTTCTGCGCCGTCAACCCCTCCTTCGTCGCCATCATCGTGGAGGCCAGCGGCGGCGGCGCCTTCCTCGTCCTCCCCCTGCACAAGGTGACAGCAGGGTGGTGACGCGGGGAAGGGGGCGGGTTTGTGCTGGTGGGTGACCCCCTCCCTGCTGTCACTGTGTCCCCAGACCGGCCGCATTGACAAGTCGTACCCCACGGTGTGCGGCCACACGGGCCCCGTCCTCGACATCGACTGGTGTCCCCACAACGACCACGTCATCGCCAGCGGCTCCGAGGATTGCACCGTCATGGTGAGGGGTGGCCCAGGATCCCGGGGGGTGGCAGGGGTCGCCCCGCTTCGCTCACTGTCCCCTCTGTCCCCTCAGGTGTGGCAGATCCCGGAGAACGGGCTGAGCCAGCCGCTGACGGAGCCGGTGGTGGTCCTGGAGGGCCACTCGAAGCGCGTTGGCATCGTCACCTGGCACCCCACCGCCCGCAACGTCCTGCTCAGCGCGGGTACGGGGGCACACGGCGGGCGCGGGGAGGGGGCCGCGCAGCCGGGGTGACCCCTGCCCTGTCCCCCAGGCTGTGACAACGTGGTGCTGATCTGGAACGTGGGCACGGCGGAGGAGCTGTACCGGCTGGACGGGCTGCACCCCGACCTCATCTACAGCGTCAGCTGGAGCCGCGACGGCTCCCGCTTCTGCACCGCCTGCAAGGACAAGAGCGTCCGTGTCATCGACCCCCGCCGCGGCACCGTGGTGGCCGTGAGTGTCCCCACCCCCCCGGGGGGCCTGTGTCCCCAGGGCGCTGCCCTGCGCTGCTTCTTGGGGGGAATCCCCTGCTCCCTGCTCTTGTCCCTTGGCGCACCCCGTTGTCCCGCGTTCCGTGGGTGTCCTTGTCCCCTGGTTCTCCCCGCTGTCCCCTGTCCCTCGGTGCGTGTCCCTGGGGCGCTGCGGGCACCGGTGACAGCCGTGCCCCCCAGGAGAAGGAGCGGGCGCACGAGGGGGCCCGTCCCATGCGCGCCATCTTCCTGGCCGACGGCAAGATCTTCACCACTGGCTTCAGCCGCATGAGCGAGCGGCAGCTGGCGCTGTGGGACACGGTGAGTGGCACCCCGGGGGTCCCCCGGAACCGTTTTGGGGTTCCCCGCCTGCCTGACGCCTCGTCCCACCCCAGGAGAACCTGGAGGAGCCCATGGGGCTGCAGGAGCTGGACTCCAGCAACGGGGCTCTGCTGCCCTTCTACGACCCCGACACCAGCGTGGTCTACGTCTGCGGCAAGGTACGGAGCCCCCCACCCCGCTGGTGGCACCCCCGGAGCCGGGGTCCCCCCTAACGGCGTGTCCCCAGGGGGACTCGAGCATCCGGTACTTCGAGATCACGGAGGAGCCGCCCTACATCCACTTCCTCAACACCTTCACCAGCAAGGAGCCCCAGCGGGGAATGGGCTGGATGCCCAAGCGCGGGCTGGACGTCAGCAAGTGCGAGATCGCCAGGTGGGCGCGGGGACACGGGGGACGAGGTGAGGGACACCCAGAACCCCCCGAAACCTTCCGTGACCCCCTGTGCTCCCCTGGCAGGTTCTACAAGCTGCACGAGCGCAAGTGTGAGCCCATCATCATGACCGTGCCAAGGAAGGTGGGTGGGGATAGGGGAATGGGGGTGGGGAACCCAGCAGGGGTCACTGGGCAGGACCTGGTGACGGGGCAAGGGGTCCCTAACCAGTCTGGGTGGGGGTCCCTATGGGGCCTGCCTGTGAGGTCCCTGAGCAGGACACGGGAGCGGTGGGGGGGTCCCCGGTGAGGCTGTGTCCCCGCGGTGTCTCTCTGGGGGTCCCCCTGAGGCTGGCACCCCTCTGACGCTCTTGGGGGCAGTCGGACCTGTTCCAGGACGACCTGTACCCGGACACGGCCGGCCCCGAGGCGGCCATGGAGGCGGAGGAGTGGGTGGCGGGGCGCACGGCGGGGCCCGTGCTGGTGTCCCTGCGCCAGGCCTACGTCCCCAGCAAGCAGCGGGACCTCAAGGTGAGCCGGCGGACGCTGCTACACGACAGCCGCGCCACGGCCGCAGCCACTGGGGCCACCACGCCGCCTCCCACGCCCCCCGCGGCCCCTGCCTCCACTCGCTTCAGTGCCCCCCCGGTGCTCGGCTCCGGCAGCGCCACGGTAAGGGGACAAGGGGGACGCGGGGGACAGGGGGACAAGCGGGAAAGGGACAGAGGGTGTGGGCGGGGCTGTGCGGTGGGTGCGGTTCCGCTGATGGGCGGTGGGTGGGTGTGGCACTGGGTGTGGCAGTGCTGGGCGTGTCCCGTGACGGGGCTGTCCCTCAGGGAGGTCGCCTGGAGGAGGTGCTGCAGGAGGTGGCGGCGCTGCGGGCGCTGGTGGCGGAGCAGGGCCAGCGCATCTCCCGCCTGGAGGAGCAGCTCAGCCGCCTGGAGAACGGCCACGTGTAGGGACCCCCGCAGGGACCACCGCCCCAGGGACCACGCCTGCACCCCAGGGACCCCCCCGAATCATCTCGCCCCCCTGGGGTGCCCCCCCTTTGCCCCGCTCCGGGCCCTTCTCCCACTGGGGGGCTGGCCGCCCCTCTGGCAGCTCCCCGCTTCCCCCCATTGCCTTACTGGGTGCTGCCCCCCCAAGTCATGGACCATTCTCCACCCCGGCCCCCATTCCTCGGGCTGGGGGTTGCTCCTGGGATCAAAGATTACCCCCTGCACCCCCCAATCCCTGCGTGGGGTCTCCCCCCTTTCTGTGGGGCAGGGCATGATCTGCCTTCCTCAACTGTGAGATACTGTCCCCCCTATATTTTGGGGGCTTTTCCTCCCCTCCTCCTCCTCCTTGCGTCCCCCCTCTCCATTCCAGTGCAGGATCAGAAACTATATTTTCACTCCAAATAAAGGATTTATAAGAAAAGCGATGGCTGCAGGGCCACCTGCAGGGTGACAGAGCGGGGGCAGGAAGGCGCAGCGGTCACGGGTGGGAGCTCAGCGCCTCGGCAGGAAGTGGGGGGGCACGGGGCGGCATTTTGGGTAGCGGGGGTGAGGGGGGTGCAGCGCTCGGCCCCCCCCGCTCTGGCACATCCGCTGCGCGGGGCAGGAAGTCGCGGGGGGGGCTCCCCCATCTCGGAGCGTGCCCGCGGCATCGGGACCCGCTCTGGCTGCACCCAGTGATGGTGAGCACCCCAAAACCGGGCAGGGTGGGAGATTGGGGGGCTGGGAGCCGAGGGGATGTGGGGCAGGCTGGGGGAGTCAGGATCAGGGAGCCAGAGTGAGTGAGGTTGGGGGCAGTGGGAGAGTAAGGGGAGTCTGGAATGTTTGGGGGGATGAGGGGAGCACAGTGGGGCTGGGGGGGCGCAGGGGAGCATGGTGGGCTTGGGGCTCAGGTTTTGGGGTGGGCTCGGGGGCCGTGCAGCCACGGTGAAGACTGCGAGTGCCGCGTTTGGGCGGCCCTGGGGCTTTGGCAGGGCGTGCCGCGGGGCTGCAGCCCCGTGGGCAGGGACGAGGGATTCTAGGGGGGCTGTGCAGCCGTGCGGGGTGGCAGGACCCGGTCCCTCTTCCCCCGGCACCTGCGGGTGCTGCTGCGCCCGCCACCCACGGCTTCCGCCCCGGGGGTCACCTCCCCCTCCCGGCCCTTGTCCTCTGCCCCTGTACCTTGCCCCCGGCCCTTCCCTGCATCCCAGCTCCGGGAAGCCACGTGCCCGGCTGTGAGCCCGCTGCCCTCCCCGCAGGCTGCCCCGCGCTGGCACCCGCTGCTGCTGCTGCTGGCGCTGGCGGGCCCGGCGGCGGCCGGGGAGCCCGCGGTGGCCCGCAGTGACCGGGCGGTGGCCGCGCTGCTGGCGCTGCTGCTGTGCCTGGCGGTGGGGCTGGCGCTGGCCTGGCACCACCTGTGCCGCATCTCCGCCGGCCGGTACCACCCGCGGCCCCTGGGCCGCCGGGCGCTGCAGCTGCTGCGGGGACGGTGGCACCGGCTGCGCGCACCGGGGGACCCCGCCGCGGCCCTCGGGGACGGCGACGGGGAGGTGGCCGTGCGGGACGACCAGGAAGAGCTGATGCCATGGAGCCTGGAGCGGCGGCCGCAGCAGGAGGAGGAGGAGGATGAGCAGGAGGAGGATGAGGAGGAGGAGGATGAGGAGGAGGAGGCCGAAGCAGCGCCGGAGGGCGGGGAGAGCCCCCTGAGTGAGGGGCAGGCGGCGGGGGGCAGCGCCGAGGCCCTGCTCAGTGACCTGCACGCCTTCTCGGGGACAGCGGCCTGGGGGGACGCGCGGCCACACGTCACCGCCCTGTGACATCACCCTCCTGACGTCATCACCCTTTGATGTCATCACCCTCTAGTGTCACCTCCCTGAAGTGTCACCTCCCTCTTTGATGTCATCACCCTCTAGTGTCACCTCCCTGTAGTGTCACCTCCCTGTAGTGTCACCTCCCTGTAGAGTCACCTCCCTGTAATGGCACCACCCTGAAGTGTCACCTGCCTGTAATGTCACTGCCCTGTAATGTCACTGCCCCGTAGTGTCACGTCCCCGTAGTGTCACGTCCCGTAGTGTCACCGCCCTGCCAGCAAAGGGACCCCTTCTCTGTCCCCTGCCAGCCCCCCGCCGAGGCTCCTGATTGGCTGCAGGGGCCTTGTCCGGGTTTGCACTGACCAATAAAAGAGCAGCTCTGGGGGCAGAGCAGACCGGGGGCGTGGTTTGCAGAGAAGTGGGTGGAGCCAATGAAAGGGTGTGGCAAATGGGAGGAGCCTAAAACCAGGGCGGGGCATCACACGGGGGTGGAGCCCGGACCCTCCCCTGGTGGGGCAACTCCCCCACCCTCCCAGTGGGCCCCCCCAGCCCCCCCAGCCCCAGCACAGGGACCACCACAGCCTCAGCAAGTCCTTTAATTGGCACACATCCAGCAGCAGGGCCACGCCCCAGGGGCCACACCCCAAAGGCCATGTCCCCAGAGGGGCCACACCCCAAAAGGCCACGCCCGCGGGGGCACATCCCTGGGGGGCCACACCCCTGGGGGTTCTCCCCATGCCCCCAAGCCCGGCGGGCAGGGGGCTGTGCCGGAGGGGGATGAGCCCCCCGGAGCACGAGCAGCACCGTGGGGTTCCCCCCACCCCATGGGGAGCACCAGGCCCCCCCCTAAAACCCCCCACCCTCCCCACCCCTACCTGGGCACCCGCCCCCGGCCCCCCTTCTGCTTCTTGGCTCCCCCCGAGGGTTTGATGGGCAGGGGGGCCGTTCCCTCGGGTGGGGGCGCCTGGGGGGGCCCCAGCTCCATGGGGTCACCTGGGGCCACCGGCTTGAATGCCTCGAAGGGGGAGAACTTCACAGGGCTGGTGGGGGAACACATGAGGGGGTGAGTGGGGCACCCACAGAGGGCGAGGAAGGGGGGGCAGCCAGTGCCCACAGAGCTCCTTCCCCACCCCCGGAAGCCCCACGCTCCATGAACCTCTCCTGCTCCTTCTTCACGCCCCCGGAGCCCACCCGGATCCCCTCACCCCAAAGCACCCCAAACCCTCACCCCACTGCCCCCACAGCCTCTCTACTCCCAGGATGGGACAGGTTGAGCCCCCCAATTGCACCCCCAGCGTTTTCCCCTGTCGCCACCTTGGTGCCCACCCTGAAACCCCCATCCCAAAACACTTCCATCCCAAAGCCCCCCACCCCACGCGCCCCCCAGCCCCTCGGTACCTGACGGGGGTGCGGGGGCTGCTGTTGAGGCGGCGGGGGGAGCGCACCTTGGGCTGGAAGGAGAACCCCTCCTTGATGCTCTCCAGCACGGAGGGGGCCACGTAGGTGAAGCCCTGCGGGTTTGGGGGTGTCACCGGGGGGGCCTGGGCGTGCCAGGGGCCCCCCCTGGGGCTGTGCCCCCCTACCAGGAAGGCCTGGTTGGCGCTCTCGCTGATGGCAGCGTCGTCGGGGCTGTCCACGGGGGTCTGGCGGGTGAAGCGGGTGTCGAACTGGCTCACGTCCTCCTCCGACTGCTGCGGGGAACACGGCGGCTGCTCCCACGGGGCCCCCCAAAACATCCCCAGCCTCCCCCCTCGGCCCCCCATACCAGGCAGGGTTTGAAGGGGGGGTCCAGCCTGCGCGCCAGCAGGTCCTCCCAGTTGATGTGGCGGAAGAAAGGCTGTTTCTGTGCGGTTTGGGGGGGTCAGGCAGGGTTTGGGGGGCGTCCCCTGGCACCCCCCGCCCACCCACCCCTGTACCTGCACATCGGCCGCGTCACCGGGGCCACCCCCAACCCTCTGGCTGGGGTTCCGCTTGAGGAACTGGAAGGGAAACAGGGATAGACATGGGATCGGGGGGGAGGACCTGCACAAATAAAGGTGGGGGGGGGTGGGGGAGGGAAGTTTGGGGGGGGGAGCACCTTCTTGAGGAGGTCACGAGCGTCGGGCGTCAGGTAGGGCGGCAGCACCAGCTTCCCCTTGAGGATCTTGTCGATGGTCTTCTTGCGGTTCTCGGCGGTGAACGGCGGCTGTGGGGGCACGGGGGGGCCGTGAAGAGCCAGGCGGGGCCAGGAAGGCTCGGGGTCACCCTGGGATGCCCCCCCCAGTCCCCAGGGAGGAGGGAGCAGCAGCGGGACTTGCCGATCCGGTGAGCATGTCGTACATCAGGGCGCCCAGGCTCCACCAGTCCACCGCCCGGTTGTGCCCGCTCCGCACCAGGATCTCGGGGGCCCTGGGGGGTGCAGGGGGGGCCCTGAGCGGATGGGGGGCCAGGACATGGGGGAGGGAAGTTTTGGGGGGGGGAGCACCTTCTTGAGGAGGTCACGAGCGTCGGGCGTCAGGTAGGGCGGCAGCACCAGCTTCCCCTTGAGGATCTTGTCGATGGTCTTCTTGCGGTTCTCGGCGGTGAACGGCGGCTGTGGGGGCACGGGGGGGCCATGAAGAGCCAGGCGGGACCAGGAAGGCTCGGGGTCACCCCGGGGTTGCCCCCCCAGTCCCCAGGGAGGAGGGAGCAGCAGCGGGACTTGCCGATCCGGTGAGCATGTCGTACATCAGGGCGCCCAGGCTCCACCAGTCCACCGCCCGGTTGTGCCCGCTCCGCACCAGGATCTCGGGGGCCCTGGGGGGTGCAGGGGGGGCCCTGAGCGGATGGGGGGCCAGGACAAACCCCCCCAAATTCCCCCCAGTGCTGCATCCACCTCACATGTACTCGATGGTGCCGCAGAAGGTGTGGGTGACGGCTCCGTCGTGGATGGACTCCTTGCACAGCCCGAAGTCCGTCAGCTTGATGTGACCTGAGGGACGTGGTGGGGTCAGCAGTGCCCCCAGAGAACCCCCCAGGCTCCCCAGTTTGCTCCCCACACCCACCTTGGCTGTTGAGCATGATATTCTCTGGCTTGAGATCCCGGTAGATGATTCCATGGGAATGCAGGTGACCCAGTGCCAGCGTGATCTCACTCAGGTAGAAACTGCAGCGGGATGGGGGTGGCTGTGAGCGATGTCGGGGTGCCCACCCCATCCACACCCACCACCACCCTCACTCCTACCAGGCAGTGTCCTCCAGGAAGATCCCTTCCCGCTCCAGCTGCATGAAGAGCTCTCCACCTGCATAAAGAGGCCAAGAGGGACCCTCCTGAGCCATCCCTGGGCACTCCTTAATCACGCCTGGGAACATCTGAGCCATCCTGAGACACTCTGTAGCCATCCTGGGACACCCTTAAACCACCCTGGACCCCTTGAGCCACCCCTGGACACCCTCCCTGGACACTGTAGCCAGTCCAGGTCATACTTTAACCATCCCTGGACATCCTGAGCCATGCCTAGACACCGACACCCTCCCTGGACACTGTAGCCACTCCAGGTCACACTTTAACCATCCCCGGACACCCCGAGCCATCCCTGGAACCCCTTGAGCCACCCCTGGGACAATCTGTAGCTGTCCCTGGAGTAATCCCCGGCGCCCCGAGCCGCCCCGCACCGCTGAGGCACTCCAGGATGAGGTAGAGCTTGCCGCCCGTCTGGAAGGCGTAGATGAGGTCGACGATGAAGGGGTGCTTGACGGCCTCCAGGATGTTCCTCTCCGCCCGGGTGTGCGCCGTGTCCTTGGCGTTGCAGGCGATCTTGGCCTGGGGGGGAGGCGGTGAGCGGGGGGGGTCCCCGGGGGGTTTGGGGGGGCCGGGGCGGCCCTACCTTCTTCAGGACCTTCATGGCGAAGATCTTGCCCGTGTTGGTGCCCTGCACTTTGCGCACCTGGAACACCTGGAAGGAGGGTCAGGGAAGGTTGGGGACGCCGTCAGGGAGCGCTGGAACCCCCCGAGGCCCCCAGCCGCGCCGTGTGCCCACCTTGCCGTAGCCGCCCTTGCCCAGGACGCGGAGCAGCTCGAAGCAGTGGGGGCCGATGTGCTCGGGGCCATTGTTGACGCTGCTCTCGGAAATCTCGATCTCTTCATAGTGTCCCACCGGCCTGGCGGGAGAGGGGGTGAGCGGGGACAGCCCCCTGCCTGTGTCCTGCCTGTCCCCTGCCTGCATACCCCCCTGCAGGCTGTCCCCCACTTACTCCAGGCCGTTTCCCCGGGGCTCCAGCTCCATCTCCTGCGGGAGGGAACTCGCGGTCAGAGGTGCGCGGGGGCGAGCAGCGGGCAGGGGACGCACGGCAGGGAGGGGACACATGGCAAGGAGGGCAGACACAGCAGAGAGGGGATCCACGGCAGGGAGGGGACACATGGCAAGGAGGGGAGCCACGGCAGGCAAGACCCGCGCAGGACACGGGCAGGAGCCGGGCAGGAGCCGGGCAGGAGCCGGGCAGGACACGGGCAGGACCCGGGCAGGAGCCGGGCAGGAGCCGGGCAGGACCCGGGCAGGACACGGCAGCGCGGGGCGAGGCAGCGCCAAGCCGGCCCAGCCGGATGTTTTGGGGCCGAGGCCGGGCCCTGCCCAGCGGGAGCCGCCCGCTGCCCGCCCGGGATCCGCGGCTGCCCCCGGTGTCCGGGCGCCCCGTCCCCGCGGACAGCCCGGCTACACCCCCGTCCCGCCACCGGCGGGACCCTGTCACTGCCCCTGTCGCTGTCCCCCCAAGCCCCTGCCCGCCGCTCCCGGCACCGAGCAGACCCTACGCACCCCCGACACCCCCGATCCCGCCGTCCCCACCTCGCCCCGGTGCCGCTCACCGCCTCCACCGCCCGTCCCGCCGCCGGTGCCCCCCGCCCCCGCGGCGCCCCCCGCCCCAGCCCCGCTGCCGGTCGCAGCCCCGGTGCCCCCCGCGCCCCGCTGCCAGCTCACGGCGCCCAGCTCGGGCTCGTCCCCGTCGCTGCCCTCCTCGGTCTCCAGGTCGATGTCGAACACCCCCGCCATGACGGCGCCGTGCCGGGACCCCCGGGGACCCGCCCCGATGGCCACGCCCCCGCGGACGGCCACGCCCCCGCCACGCCCCCGTGTCACCGCCTTATCGGGACCCCGGGGAACCCGCCGCGGTGGCCACGCCCATGGCCACGCCCCCCCGGCGGCCACGCCCCGCGCGTCACCGCGGTGTCCCCAGCGCGGGGGACACGGGGACAGGGGTCCCGGGGGTGGCGCAGGGAACACGACAGAGGCAGCGCGGCCGCTCACAGCCTTTACTGGGGTCCCCGGGCCCGCCCCGCCCCCCTGCGCCGCGCTGACGTCAGCGGCGCCGCCGTGACGTCAGAGGAGGGGGCAGGAAGAGAGGGGGACATCCCGGTGACCCCGGGCGGAGATCCCGGTCGGGGTTTCCGCGGGGTTGCAGGGCACGAGTGGGGCTGCGGGACACCGGGGTTATTGTGGGGTCACCGGGGTGGTTGTGGGGTCACTGCTGTTACTGGGGGGCTGCGTGCTCTTGTGGGGTCTCTGTGTTATTGCAAGGCCAGGGGCACTACGGGGGCTGGGTGTTATTGTAGGGTCGCTGGTGTTATTGTAGGGTCAGGGGCACTGCGGGGGCTGGGTGTTATTGTAGGGTCGCTGGTGTTATTGTAGGGTCAGGGGCACTGCGGGGGCTGGGTGTTATTGTAGGGTCGCCGGTGTTATTGTAGGGTTTCAGGCACTAAAGTGGCTGTGTGTTATTGCAGGCTCTCAGGCACTACAGGGGCTCTGTGTTATTGTAGGATCTCTGGTGTTATTGAGGGTCGTGAGGGCTGTAGGATCTGGGTGTTATTGTGGGGTCACTGCTGTTATTGTAGGGTCAGGGGCACTTCAGGGGCTCTGTGTTAGAGTAGGGTGCCTGGTGTTATTGCAGGATCTCAGACATTTCAGGGGCTGGGTGTTCGTGTAGTCACTGGTGTTACTGTAGGGCCTCCCCAGTGACAGCCCTACATCACGTCACACAAGTCTTCCCAGAGGATTTTCTGAGCTGCTCCAGGGAATCCCTGGGTACCCCTCTGTTGTTGTAGGGTCCCCTGGTGCAGGTCTATCATTGTAGGGTGTCCCCGTGCCAGTTTGTTATCGTGGGGTCTCCCTTTCAGGGTGTGCTGCTGCAGGGTGTCCCCACACTGGTTTGCTACTGTGGGTTCTCCCCTTTTGTTATTGTAAGGTCTTCCCTTCGAGGGTGTCATTGTGGGGTGTCCCCACCTCAGTCTGTTACTGTGGGGTCTCCCCTTGCTGGTGTGTGTTATTGTGGGGTCTCCCCATGTTTCTTTGTTACTATGGGATGTCCCAGTAATTCTTTGTCATTATGGGGTCCCCCCATAATGGTTAGTTACTGCAGGGTGTCCCCATGCCAGCAGGTGCCAGCGCACCTCACGCTTCACCTGCTGCTCTCGTGGGGTGGCCTGGGTGCTTCGGGGGTCCTGGCTGCCCCCCCCCGGGGATGGCACGGGGACAGCAGGGGTCAGTGTCCCTCTGTGTGTCCCCAGGCATGGGACCCCCAGCTGACCCAGGGACAGGGGGTAGAGACTGTAGGGACCGGGCAGGGGGGACAGGGAGGGACGCTGGGAAGCGGGGCATGGGATGCCATGGTAATGGAGGGATGCCAGGGGATGGGGCACCTGGACTGGGAGAGCGGATGTCAGTGTGGTGGAAGGATGAAGTGCCAGGATGGACGGGGATGCCAGGGAATGTGGTGCCAGGACATGGGGGATGTCGGGATTGGGGTGTCAGAGTAGTGCGGGGGGTGCCCGGAGATGGGATTTCACCATGCCAGGGGATGGGGCATCAGGAGAATCGGGAAATGCCAGGGGATGGGGCACCAGGAGAGTCGGGAAATGCCAGGGGATGGGGCACCAGGAGAGTCGGGAATTGCCAGGGGATGGGGCACCAGGAGAGTCGGGAAATGCTAGGGAATGGGGCACCAGGAGAGTCGGGAGATGCCAGGGGATGGAGTGCCGGGTTAATAGGAGGATCCCAGTGGATGGGATGTCAGGATACCAGGGGATGGGCTGCCAGGGGAGCGAGGGGATGCCAGGGGATGGAGTGCCAGGAGGAAGGGGAGTGCCAGGCAATGGGGTGGCAGGGCCGGTGACTGATCCAGGGCGGTACGGGGGTGCCAGGACATGGCGTGCCAGGCCACGGGATGGGGGTGCCGGGGGGATGCCGGGGAGGGGCGGCGGGGCGGCGGGGGCGGGGCGTGCCGGGGCACCCATTCCCCCGCTCTCCCCGCTGCCTGCCCGGCGCTATTTGAAGTGGGACAAGAAATGCTCCACGGGATATCGCGGGGAGTCGATGCCCAGCCCCTGGCAGAGCCCCAGCAGGCGCTCGCAGGCCTCGGCCAGCGTGGCCCCGGCGCACGCCACGCTCAGCAGCGGCTCCTCGTACTCGCCGGCGCCCTCGGGCTCCTCGAAGAGCCGGTTGAGGCGGACGAGCCCGCGGCCGTGCAGCTCCCGCAGAGCCCGCATGCCGCCGCCGCCCGCCAGGCTCTCGCCGTGCTCGGACGCCAGGCACATCACCCCGGCCAGGTGCGTGCGGGCCGCGGGCCGGGCGGGCAGCACGGGCGGCACGCCCAGCGCCACCAGCACGGCGGCCAGCAGCAGGTCGGGGCCGTAGACCTGGCGGATCCAGTCGCGCAGGTAGAAGCCCCCCATGCGGGGGTTGATCTCCAGCAGGCGCGGCCCCGCCGGGCCCAGCTTGAGCTCCACGTTGAAGACGCCGTCGCGCAGCCCGCACGCCCGGCAGCACTGCAGCGCCGCCCGCACCAGCTGCGCCTGCCGGTCGGCGGGCAGGCAGGAGGGCAGGCAGGCCGCCGTCTCCAGGAAGGCGGGGACACGCGTGGGGCCGTTGTCCGACACCCAGGCGCCCAGCAGCCGCCCCTCGAAGACCACCAGGTCCACGTCGTGCTCGGTGCCCGGCACGTACTCCATGAGCAGCATGGCGTTGCCCCAGCCCAGCCCGATGCCCGGGTGGTCGGCGTCGTCGCGCAGGTCCCTCCAGAGCCGGGCGGCGTGAGCGTGGCACTGCCCGGCGTTCTCCACCAACCGCACGCCCACGCCGCCCGCGCCGAACTCCAGCTTGGCCACGGCGGGGAAGGGCACGGCGCCCGCCGCCCGCTCCACGTCGCCGTGGCTCCGCAGGCGGCGGCAGGGCACGGCGAAGGCGGCGGGCGGCGGGC